ATGAATACTGTAACTATTTTATTTGTGAAAAAATACTGATATTGCAAAGATTCTTCTGTCAATATTGTACATAGTAGTCGTTTATTTAATTCACTGACAAACAAACAAATAAAATCCATTCAGTATAATAGAAAACAAAAGTTTCCAACTTCTGAATGTAAAGGGAGTAGAAAGAAGAATAAACGTATGTAATCTACCCCTTTATAACAAACAATCAGTTACAATAAGCATTAAAAACGAACAAAAATATTATTTTAGATGTGCAAAATATTAAAAAAATGAGCACATGTTTGAATGCATGTATGTTCATTGTGCAAAATCTACAATTACTGTAGCAAGAAAACACAGAACATGCCAAATGATCAAGCTGTTGTATTAAATTTACTGCAAATAAACCTGATTTGCATCATCTCACCACAGTAGATGCTGATTAACACAAATGTTAGATGTCTCAATTTCCTATGACAAACTAATTTCACCATTTGTGGCACTTTCACGTCCTTGTTTTACCAAGCTCATCCGTTTGGTCTGACACAGCTTCATTCATCCAATTGTATGTGTCTAAACTAATTCAATAGGACCATTTTAACACGTGTGACAGCGAACAACGAGCAAACTGTATTTCATCATGTAAGTTGGTGTAATATGCCACCTCTGCTGTACAATTTACACATATTTTTTTGCGTTTTAGCTCTTAGTATTCAGTGTCAATCGATGTTTTGCGGTGGAACTAAATGTATTTTAAATTGCGTAATAGGTTTAGACACATCTGAACCCTTCAAGTCTTCTTTCTGGGTTATTCTCGTCTTCTCAACGTATTTCGGTTAGGTTCGTTCGTTTTTCGTTGTGCACTGGTATACAGTCACATGACAGAAAAAAAGCTACGTGTTAAGTGTGCGCTCAGTGTAGGGCGGGCGGCGCTGTGACACAGAACAAGTGTCCACTGTGGTGGGTTGTCTGCCATCATCAGCGGGGATCAGTTGGCTAGCGGAACAACAGCAGCAGCAGCAACAGCAGCAGCAGCGGATGGTACAGATTCGGAGCCCGAAACCGAGATTTGTCACCGTGTCCAGCGTTCATGTGAAACAAAAGGTAAAGTAGCCGTTTTGTGAACGCCGACAGCCCGTTTCTTTACGATAATGTTAGCCGGGAAAGCTAACTGACATATGTGCCGTTTGCGTTAACTCCGGCAACAACGATGTGTTAGCTGTTAGCTAGCTTGTTCGACGGAAACGGATTTGTCATGGATTAGCTAAAATGGTTAACGGTGCATCGCAGTACTACAAACGTGAAGGAGAAAATCTTTAAGAAGTTGGCGCTTTAACCCCGCAAAAATCACGAATAGCAATAATTGTGGCTTTTAGCTGCTATTTAAATTCTTTTTTACTAATTGAGTTTAGCGGTTCGTGTTTAGCTAGAAGCTGCTTAACGAGTCGTTTCCTTTATGAATTAGCATGTGAACAAGATTAGTTCTGAACGTCCGGGCTGCATCTTAGCCTCCTTGTGTCCATCAGTAATCGTGATATTGGCTTGCCACTAGTATTGTGCAGCTTCCTGAAGCCTGTTTGGGATGTACATGTTTGTGTAAGACATTATGTAACAGTTCTACATGTGCTCATGTTGTTATTTTCGTTGGTACCCAGATAAGTCTGTCGTGCTTGTTGAGGGGCAGATGAATTTGAGAGGTGAGCAAATCAGTCAGTAGCCAACAGCTGCTGGGTTCAAGGACAGGCAGTTCATAATAGACAGAAAGAAGGTTTTCTTCAGTGGACATCTCAGTCTCTGGTTTTTCCAGGGACCTGAATGTTGAGAATAGGTTTTCAGACGTTCACTTAGCAGTTAAAGTGACTGAGAAGCTCAACTTAACTGACCTACAATAAGATTAAAGCTGCATGGATTGATCAGTCAGTGTTCACCAATTGTATAAATTCCCAACTGTTTTGATAGTGAGAGGAAAAAAGTGCAAATTCTTTGAATCCAACTTCTTAAATTTGAATGTTTTGTTGTTCCTTTACTCCTCTATGGCTGTAAACTGAATATTACTGCTGCAACTAATGGTTATTTTCATTGTCAGTTAATTTGTTGATTATGTTCCCACTTAATAGTTTAGCTGTTTAGTAAATAAAAGTTCAGAAAATGAAGGACAATGTCAATTTGTGTTTTCCAAATCCCAAGGTGACGTCCTCAAGTGTTTGTTTTGTCCACAGATAGTTTATTGTCACAGTGGAGTCACAAGTCTAGAAAATATTCATATTTTTTTGGGCTTTTTTATTTGCTTTGCTGTAATCAATTAAATTACCAATTACCAAAATGGCTCTTAAAGTTATTACGGTAGAAGTTGACAAATTAGCACTTAATTATTGCCAATCTACAAAGTACTTATGGACTGAGAACAAAGCAAGACATTTGAGGACGTCATCTCAGGCTTAGGGACACACTAATCAAAATTCAATTCAAAATTTTCAAACACTGCGACCCTAAATAAGATATCCCAAGAATTTGCTCTGGGACCATTTTGTCAAGTTTTTTTTTTTGGTTATTCAAAACCAACAACACATTAAGCAAAACATTCAGTGTGTCTGATCCATACAGTAACACATTTGTACTCATCTCTGTCAGGTGACTTTGTCTTGTATGGAATGACAACCTCACAGAGATATATTGGATCCAAACCAGCCGGTAAGTTGACACTCTGCTGCCAAAATGCATAAACTGTGCGTCAGTTCCCCGTGCGCTGATACTGATATACTGCTCTGTCGCCGTTGTCCCTTTTCACAAATATACATTAGCTCGGTTTGCTGACATGGAGTGGCAGACGCCAGCTGTGTCAGAGAAGTTCCAAAGCCGTTTTGGCCAGCGGCCTGGAACATCGGACAGCGGGGACACTGGTCTTGGCACCTCAGCATCTGACAGCACAGAAGGTGATGACTTTTGCTTGCTCTTCCTCTGCCTGAAGCATGTGTTGTGTAACATTGTTTTGAAGACTGCCTGTCAGCAGTGGAGCTCCACTTTGCTTTTTGTTTATTGTACCCTGCTGAACACATGAACTGTACATAATATTTGCTTTACAACATGTTTGTTTACCAAGCTGAGTTGAAGTTGTATTGTGTTTAATGCAGTGAGAGACGATGCATAGCCTTTGGCCTCAACACCTTTTGTGTGCTGAAGCTGGAAAGACCTTATGTTTGTGGTCTTCTTTCTTACGCTATTTATAGAGTGAGGAAATGTTCACGATCTAGTATGGGTGCTTGGGAGATTTACAGAGGTACAATAGATTAGAGTTACAGCGAAAAATGACCCAAGGCGCTGCTTCACTGCTCGGCTGTTCGGGATAATTGAGAGGATGATGTGTTGGGATGCCAGGAGTAGACAGCTAAATGGGGACGGGACTTTGCCTGTGATGTGGAATGTCACGTTCACTGTTTTTTGTAGTTGCCCCTGACCAATTACTCTGTAGTGCTCTAGAGAAATTGTTTCCACCTGTGTGTCTGTCCATCTGTTTTTTTAAAATATTATTGTGCTTTAAATGGGAACATCCCAACAGTGATGGTGCTTTTGTGTTTGTGCTGTATTTGTTCATGTTCACGATGGGTGGAAAAAATGATAGACTCAAAGGTTCCATGTAGTAAATGGTCAGCTGGGATGGGTGGTCCCTGTTTCCACAGGAAACGCTATGAAATAATAGGCTGAAAGTTTATCAAGAGAGTGTCTGCACTGTAGGGTTTGAGCTTCACAAAGCTGGTGTTTATGTCATGACTGCCAGGCAACTTCATAGAAATGTTTGTCAGACGATAAAGCCCCATAGACTGTGTGTTTTAGTGCTTCCCTTATCACTATGGTGACTTAAACAATGTCTGCTGCTCGCCTCCAATCACTAAACCTTAAACAGAGGGTGTGAAGAACAATTAGTAGTGTTGATGGATAAATATCTTCCAAAGACCTGAAAACAGTTATTCTTAAGGTTTACAAGCTCTGAACACTGATCCCTGAGCTCAGGGCTGGTACGGCAACATTCCTGGAAGGATCGAAGTTGCAGTCAAGCACATGGTTGTCAAGGCTGTTATTCTTTAATGTCAACCTGTTGCTAGGTTTGCATGATTTTGTGCAACCCTCGTTCCATTCATGTTGTTTCTGGTGGTTCTTTAAATATATTTCCTTTATAGCTGTTGTCCTAATGTAGGATTTTCCGAGGTCTTTGTGGGGGGACTGCATGACAGCAAGCCTGATCAGTCTGCGTGCAGTAAAGGCAATGTGTCTGTGTTAACTTATTTGATAGAAAACTAGGTATTTTCTTTTTATTTAGACCATTTGATGAACAAAAGTATCTGCTGTGCTCAAGTAAATAAAGCCTAAGTTAAGAAAACTGGGGGGAAGAAAAACATGCATTTTTTTTAAAACTATGTCAATTCTTATCATCTCAGCACTAGTAATTCTCTTCTGGCGTTCTCTTAAACCCCTTTGAGGGCGCACAACATCCTCTGTGTAAGAAAAACTCGGCAGTGTCGAAATTATCATAATTGCTACTGACTTCGTCCAGGCGCTTAGACTGACTGTTAACCCCAGGTTTATCCACAATCAGGACTTCTGTAGAGAACACTGTGTAAAGCAACAAAGCAACCAGCTTTAGTTTACCAGATGTTTAAAAACCAAATGAGAACAAATAGGCTTTGGGTATTTCTTGTTATTTTATTCACCTCCCAAAGGCAGGAATGTCTGTTAAGCAAACATCAAGCAAATGTTCATCTGACAGAGTAGTTTAGACTTGTTCTAGCCAGCCACGAATCAGTGGAGCCCGGAGGCTTGTTTTGTGCTCTTGAAAACTTAATGTTGCTTCCATTATATTTTTTTCCTCATTGCTCATCACTATTTTCCACAGCTATTGTGCGGCGTGTATGATTTGAGAAGGTTGTGGATTAAACTGAGCAGGAAAAGCGTATCCCATTCAGCCTTTGACTTTGGATGTACACGTGTGATGTGTGTTACAGTGGGAGGAGGCAAGGTGCTTAAATAAGCGGCACCCACAGATCACTCTGTAACTTGAGAGGTGGGCTATAAATACCCCTAACCTTTCCTGTGTATGCCTGTTTGTATGCGTTTGCTCGGTGCTCGGTACAGGCTGGTTTTGCTGTTTGCGGACAATACAGCTTTGGGCACCAGGCCTGCTTGCTGCGCAGCTGTCAGTCGTTGCTTCAGAAATCGTTTCAGCGCTTCCCGGAAATGCAGAAGACCGTTTTCTATTTTGATTTAAAGCGGTGTGCAGCTCTACTCACCTCAGTACAGTTTTAGAAAAAATGCCACAACTAATAACATGCTTGCTGCGCTCGAGTGATTGCCTGGTTTCCACACTTCAACAAGTCTCTCAGGTTTGTATTGCTGCTGAAGACAGTTATGCAACTTGAAATTTTGTTGAGGCTTGTGAAGATGTTTGGGGGTTGGTTTTCGGGATCTTGCTGTCTTGCTGGAGTTCTTTGTGAGCTTGTGGGATCTCTGAGGTTTTCAAATGAAGCAGTGACATTTTTGTGCATGCTCGATGCAGCGAGCTCAGTATGTATTCTGTAGAGTGATCCAAGGGCACTAATCTGTGTATGTTATCAAGGGAATAGCTATCATCACACTAATTAAAAAGGAGGACCCTTTAGGGCTTGCTGTTCTGTTTTAACAGAATTCTACAGTGAATTATAATTGTCTTACATGGTACCAGCTTTATCAAGACAGCAAACGCATGACATATTTGTTTATCGTGTAATACAGAGCTTTTATTCTGTGCGTTGGTTTAAGTCTATTATAAGCCTATTCCCTGGGTTGAGTCAGTCAGAGCCAGTTAATTCTTTCAGTGGTGACACCTCATCATCAAAGTAGGCCACCCATAAACCGTGCTGCATCTACTTTACATCGCTGACTGAAAATAGCGGAAATGGCCTGCAGTCGTGCTCTAGATATTCTGCACTGATTTAACAAGGCACATTTGTATATTGAACAGGGAGTGGGTTATACCTAATGTAAATTCTAATGATCCTGTTCTTTTACTCTTTCAGATTTCTGCAGTTCAAGCAGCAGCCCTTCTTTCCAGCCCATCCGCAGTCAGATCCCCATACCCACTGCACATGTCATGCCATCCACGGCCGGAGCCCCGGCCTCGAAGCCCCAGGCATGTGTCCAGGAGGACTCCCTTTCCTCACTTGATGGTCATAGGTCTTCCTCAGGCTCCAGAACCCCAAGCGGCACCACGTCAAAGTCTTCCTCTCTCTCCAAATCAGCATCTTCGCCCAACTTGGACGCTCAGGTTGGTGTGGGAGGGGATCCTGTGGGACCCAAGCCAGACTGCCTGAGCCGCTACCGGAGCCTTGTCAATGGGCTGGACCACTCGCTTTTCCCCACAGATCACACCCGGGTGGATGAGGGCCAGAGGTTTGACACTCCTGCTGTGGAACCTACACTAAATCAGTCGGTGCTGCTGGGGGGGCTATGCCCTGATGTCAGACTCCGATTACAGGCGACCGGGATTAGAGACACCCCAGACTGTGTGTCTGAGGCCTACAGAGGAGTTATGGAGCACAGCTATAAGGTTCTGCCTGAAGCTAGGCCTGGCGTTCCTGGCACAGCAGAAGCCTCTAATCAGAGGGGCGGTCAGCCTGGTGCAGCCGGATCCGCAGGAGTTTATACAAGCCCTCTCAGCTTGCAGACACAGGCTCTGCTGAGGGAGCATGCTGGCTCCAAGGGTTATGAGCCATTGCGGCAGGACAGATGTAGTGAACTTTCAAGCTGGCAACAACAACAGCAGCAGAAGCAGCAACTGGAGAGTTTACGCCTTCAAGTGGAACAAATGCAGGTAAGAGCTTTTCCTCAATAGAGAATTTTACAAAATTAGTGGTAAAAAAAAAACTAACAACTTGCAACTATAGAGGTTGTTTTACTCGTTTCAGAACTGATTTCAGAACTGTCGCAGCTCTGATTGGATCATAGTATTGAGGCTAGACTTTGATGTTGCTCATTCACGTACTACATCTGCTGGGTAATGAAACAAACTTGTTTTGACTGCTCTGAATAGGTTGAAGTGCATTCTCTAAAGAAAAGTAAAGACCATTGGTTTAGACATGTGGGGCAGTTGGTCATCTGTGGGCATTGAAATTTGGCCAGAAATTTGTTTCCTGTACACACACTGTATATAGGTCAATGCCGCGAAAATGACGTTCCACTGAGCGAAGCCTGCAGGCATACAGACGATGTGTCCTATTTTAAAGGAGGATTTGTCAAATCAATCGGCCAAATTAAACTCACAAGAACTTCAAAGGATTTTGTGCTGTCTGTCAGATCAATTTTATTACATGTTTAATTAGGAAATCCCATGTTTTGTTAACTTTCGACAGCTTATCGCTGCTTCCCTTTTGCAGTCAGGAAAAAGCTGTCAAGTGGTAAAAAGCTGTTGCCCAACAGCACATTTCAGAAATGCTGTCATTCGTTTTATGGCAGATGCTGACTGAGTGCTACTCGAGAGACTGTTGCAACTTCCACATATTGTGCTGATACATGAACTAGTACTTTATCGCTTAAGCACAAGTTTGAGTAACTTTTTGCTTAGTTGAGATTCTGACACTTGACAGAATTTTCAGTGCAAAATCTGACTGGACACATCCATGATTTTACTGTATGAAGAAGCTGTACGGCTTCTTGCAAAGTGTAGCTTTGATGCTCATTCGAATATGAAATGTTCTGAAAGGTGTGATTTAAGTGCGGCCCTGACTGATTGATGGAGGACATGTTTTTAGGCTCTTTTTTTGGTATTTTTGAATCATCTAGTTTTGATTCTTTATACCATTTTTTCAGTAAACAACTTGCAACCATGCTAAATGTTATGTATGTGCAGTGGATATTTCTAAGCTTTCAGGGCTGCAAGCTATCTAAACTGTTGACTTTGTGGAAATTAGGTTTTTACAATACACCTTATTTGAAGTTGCAAAAGTAAAATAGATGACAAGTGGCTACAAAAGCCACATGAAATCATGACAGTCCTGCAAACTGTGACGTGAATAATTTAAGTGTAAGTGAACCTGATGCAGTTTACCAAACTTTCATTACTCATAATGGTTAGCTGCCTCCATCCATCTTCATTACCAATCCAGATATTTTATTTACAAGTAAGTTTCAAAAAAAGGACTGCAGAGGAAGTTGAGGCAAAAGTGTGTGAGCTCGACTCTATGCAGTGTGTCCCTGTTGGGTCGCTAATGCTAGCTAGCCATCTGTCTGCACATATCACACTGATGTTGCCAGTGCAAACAGTGCAAATGAGTTAGTGAAGATCATTTTTGTCCTGTCTGTGCTCAAAGTGATCATTAAAGTGGGAATCTGGTGCTGACAGTTGTTGGGTAACTGCATGGGATGCTATGTTTGGTGGTGGTGCAGAACTTTTTTATTGTTGCTCAGTTGTTTTGCGCTTCTACTCCTAAAAATGTCAAAAAGTAAAGTTTTTGTCATTTTTGCATTTGGCTATGAAAGAAAATCTTTGGTCAATGGATATAAATGTAAGTGAGACTTTATTAATATAGCACTTTCTAAAACACACTGTTACAAAAGTGCTTCATACACATACAAAAAAAGTGTTTAGAATATTTTTGCAAGTTACTTGATTGGATAATGAAACAATGCTGAAAGTAAAATACTTTCAAATAGATCAATTCTTAGGAGTGCTTTAAGTAACATTGGTATTCATGTAATGTAACTGGAACATGCGACGGCATTGAATTGAATGGAAACCAGTGTGAATCCAAAAACTACTATTCAGTACTACTACATCAGGAGATCAATGCCAAAATCCACCCCTAGCAGTGATATTCTTTTCTGAAATGAAACTGGCACTGCTAAATACCCATCCTTCAGTTTCATTACTCTGAATCACTGATAGCTCTTTGAAATTGGCCCACTGTTATTTACAAAAACAATATGTTGCTCTGTTGTCAGTTATAAAAATAATTAGATCATGTGGTCACGAGGAAGGGTAACGAAGGCTGGAGGTAATTCATGAGCTGCCTGCATCTTGTTTTGTGCTTTGATCTATCTTTAGTTTTGTCGTTGCAACTCTTGTATTTGTGTATGCTGTACACTGTTGGAGTTGTCCTAAGATAAGATGGAAAGCTGTCAGCCATATGCTCAAAGTTGTGCATCACCTTTGCATGTTTTCTCTATATGATGCAGCTCTAACTGGTAATGACATTTACAATTGTCGGTGTTTCTGTCTCTTTTGTTGCAGTTAATGAGTGCAGGAGTGGGTCAGTACCCATCTTTGTACTCAACGCCAGTCGCCAGCCACTCAGACTCTGGCAAGTGGGACGCTTTGGTAAAAGCCAGTGAGAGTCTGCTGAAGGAGAAGGAGCTTATCATTGAAAGGCAAGTGTTTCTGATAGATTTACTGCTCATGTTGTGACTTTGTAGAAAAGGATTTGTTGTGTTACCACAATGAAATTAAATAAATACTGAGTTGATATTTTAGTATTATAAGATTTTTGAATGGGGAAATTTTGAATTTAGATGTACCTTCTTGTGTTAGTAATGCTTGGATCTTGCCCTCGATGCAGACAAAAGCAGCATATGACCCAGCTGGAGCAACGTCTTAGGGAAAGCGAGCTGCAAGTTCATGGAGCCCTCCTGGGCCGAGGTGCTTCTTATGGGGATATGTGTATGCTGCGTCTCCAGGTTAGTAAAAAAAAAAAACCCTGACACCACAGTGTTATACTGCTGACATCTTGACAGATTATTCACCCCTGAAATACTCATCTGAATCTTTTATATCATTTCATGTCATTGCAGGAGGCTCAGAGGGAAAATGCATTCCTGCGGGCGCAGTTTACGGAGCGCACCGACTGTGTTGCCCTGGAGAAAGCAGAGGCAGAACGCAGACTGGGAGCAGTTGAGGCTGAGACGCGTCGACTAATGGACTGTCTGAAGGAAGCCTGTGAGAGACATGCGGAGGAGATGAAGAAACAGGAAGAGAGGGTTCGTGCTTACCTAACACGTGTTCCTAACAGAAGTGTTGTGAGCAATGCAACCACAAAATGACAGGAACAAAAAGACTTGTTTAAATAATGATGATGAGCTTTGCTTCTGCTTTAGTGGAATTAATGGATTGAAAACTGCATTTAAATGCTGTCTAAAGTTCTGCTCCAACAGTTCCAAACTAAATATTTGAGTTCCTCTAGCACAGGAAACCTTTCTCTGCGCATAGGAACAAAGATGTAGAAAAAATGACTTTCAACCTTAGGGGACTAGTAGATAATAAATAGTAAGTGTAACTGTAGGCTTTAATGAGGAGCTCATGTTCTCTAAGCAAGGTGAAAGAAAAATGCTAATGGACAATTCATGCTTTACTTGTCGGCAAAGGTCCACATAAATGTTCTCATGCCCAACTCCACGAGGTTTTGCATGAATCCCTCTGCAGACCAAATATTGTGACCCCTTGTACTTTCAGCACTGCAGGCATGCCGACTGCACATGTGCCAGAAAACAAATGGTGCTCAGAACAAATGCTTGCTATGAGAAGAAGCTGTGCATGGAAATTCTCCATCATCCGCACCTTTGTAATTCGTCATTGAAGAATTGTAGTTCAAGTTGCTGCTGCCAGACTTTCGGAGCACTTTGAGTTGTAGCTACGTGCAAAGTTCTAAATTCTCCATAAAACCTGTGCTACATGCACCCACTGTGTTAACATTCATACAGTCCTACAGCCCAATCTGTAGCTACCTTCTATATCCAGAGACATCCACGGGAGCCCTGTGTGTTTTACTGTGTTCATTATGAGAGACAGCACGACTGTCTACAAAGCAGACCAATTATAGTTTGAACAGAGTTGTGTGTAAATCCACTGTCAAAGTCTGCATCAGTCTGTGACTTATTAGTCATTGCATTTGGAGCAACTACTTACCACTTATGTTTATATGTGCAGATCCGCAGTCGCGACAAGCACATCAACAACCTAAAGAAGAAGTGTCAGAAGGAGGCCGAGCTGAAGAGAGAGAACCAGCAGCGTATCGAGACTCTGGAGCGTTATCTGGCTGACCTGCCCACCCTGGAGGACTACCAGAGCCAGAACAAGCAGGTTAGGACAGTTGGGCAGTTTCACTCTGATTGATTGCCTCTGTCCTGTGTCACTCCGCTCATTCTTTAAACCTGAATGTGTGTGTGTGTTTTTTGCCATCAGCTCTTAGAGGCTGAACAGCAGGCAGCTGAGCTACAAGAAAAAGTAAAAGAACTGGAGGCTGGTCTGGAGACGACACGCTCACAACTACGGGAAAAAGATGCACAGCTGGAGGAGCAGAAACGCCGGGAGAGAGACCTGCTGACCACCATTACTGAGTATGTACACAGTGGGATGTCTTCTCTTTGGCGTGCTGATTCTCTTCACACTCTGTGTACAAAGAGACAGTAATAACTCTGCATAATGAGCGTTCTGTGTTCTTATTTTTGGGTTCATCAGTATGCAGCAGCGGGTCCAGCAGGGCCTTGAGGACGGAGCCAGACTTCCCTCTCTGGATATTGAGAAGCTTAGGGGAGAGAACAACACTTTGAGAGAGGAGCAGCAGAGACTCAAAAAGGCATGCTTGAGTGTTTTTTTTGGGGGGTAGATGGGAGTTTTTAAGCTCTGGGGTACACCAGACATTTTCATTATGGAGGAACTATTTGTATCTGTTACATAGAATGGGTGTACAGCAAAATTTTACCATGTAGGACTACAGCGTTGCTCAAATGCAGGATTAGTCTCGAACAGGTTGAACCTGTTGACCTAGAAAGACCTCATTCCCTTTGTGTGTGAATTTACTGTAATTGTTGTGCCAAACTGAAACGCATAAACTGTTGACACCATATGAATTATTTAATTTTTGCGTTTAACTCAAACAATTCCAGTTTCAAGCTGAGAGGAAGTGTGTGTTCAGTTGAGTTAAACCTACAGAGAGGTGTTCATTTGTATGGAAAGTGAAAGTAAAATGTTGCGGTTAAAGCATGTGCTCTGTAGTGGTCACCGTGCTCGCTGTGCTGATGTGTGCTGCACCTGCAAAGTAAATGCTACGGATTATAGACGCACGCTTTTCTCACAAGGTCATAGTCTCACAGTCCCAACAGAGCAGGGAGAAGGAGTGGCAGAATTTATTATTAAAATGAAAGAGTTAAGAAAACAGAAATAACCAACAGGTGCTAGTTTGACTGTTGAAACATTAGGTTCAGATCCTCAGTGAAATTTAGCCCTGCTGACAGAGTGCAGGCAAGATCTTGTCTGTAAGTTGTGCTTTCAAAATCTTTAAAATGTTTACTGTAGATGTTATCAGTGCAGATTGTGAGTGGAGTTAGATAAACAGAACGAAAAAAGATCCAGTGCAGTCTGGTCGGTTACAAGTTAAAGTTTACATTGAGAGATAGTGTTTTAAAGCTCACCGTGTCTCTTTGCAGGTCATTGAGAAGCAACACCGAATGATGGAACAGCTTGGTTCTCAGATTCAGGTGATTCTGTCATCACAGTGATTCTAGATGATCATGTGTTATCTGTTGTTTTGTAAAGCTGATTTAACAATTGCATTTCAATGTTTGTCTGCAGGCTTTGGAGGAGCAGATATCTCTGGAAGAGAGCGGCTCTCAGGCTCTCAGAGAGGAGGTGTTGGCCAAAGAGCACAACATGTTGGAGCTCCATACAGCCATGAAGGAGGTGAGATGGACTAATCTGGAAAAAAAAAAACATTCAATTTTTTTAGTTTGATGTGGAGAGAAGGTCTGAGTCCTTCATAACACCTGACTGCTTCATTTCTAACATAAACGCTGACGACTGTGTTGCAGCTGTCGGCCCAGAACCAGGAACTGATGGAGCAGAATTTGACGCTGCAGGAGCAGATGAGCGATCCGGAGCAGAGGAGCAGCAACCAGGCCTCTTCTGTCCTGCAGCCAGCTGGAGCTCGACTCACACAAAGGCTACACGTGGAGATCGCTTCCTGCCTCAGTGATCTGCGCTCGCTGTGCAGCATTCTGACCCAGAGAGCCCAAGGACAGGATCCCAACCTCTCCCTGCTGCTCGGCCTCACATGTAAGCACTGATGAAATTTTACTCTTTTTTTTTTTGGTAATATAATATGACTAATTCTCTAAGCCCTCATTTTTTGCTCCTGTCACATTTTTATTGACTGTTGACTCATTTTTCACTGCAATATAAAGTCCTGCATCTCTATGGACACAGCACAGCCATGGCTAGACGTAGAGAGAATCAAAAATGACTTTACTGCAGTATAAAAACACAAAAAGAGAAAAAACTAGGCGGGATTTCTTTGATTATTTATTTTACAAAAATGGGGGAAAAAATGGAATTAACGCATTAAACATTTTGCCCACAAGTGTTATTAATACTTTAAAAATGGTGTCTTTACATACTGTAGATCTTTTACTACAAACATTTTTTATTTGCTTTCATACTTTCATCTGCTCTGTTTAAACACAGCCTGCAGTTCAGATGAATCCATGAATTAAAAAAAAAGACTATTGGTCTCAGTTGAGTGAACTGTGGCCTCTTTTGTGCATTTTTTCCCCCAGAATTTGATATAAACATTTATTTTTTCGGTGAATTTCTAAATGAAACATGTAGAAAAATGGGATTTTCTTGATTTTCTTGTTCTGATTTTAAACGTTGGTTAATTTCTTCATAGAGACCACACTTCACACTTGATTATTTCAAGGACTGTAGGAAAATTCAATAGACAAAAAATCTTCCTTTTCGTGTCATTTTGGAGATTGTCGAACCTACCAGCAAGTTCTGGCATTCAGAGGATTGAATAATAATTACTTTTTAAGTTAGTGTAGAAAACTTGGGGTTAGAAGTAACACAGGATGAATCATTATGTCCTCATTATGTCTCCAGCACCTCCAACAGTGGCAGAGCAGGACGAGGACTGGATGAATCCTGAGGTGCTGCAGAAGAAGCTGGTGGAAGCCCAACAGCTCCGTCGTGACGTCGAGGAACTACGTAATGTAATACTGGACCGTTACGCGCAGGACATGGGAGAAAACTGCATAACTCAATGACCTTCGCACCCAGGTGATGAAGGAAGCTTGCAGAAGCTCCTCTTCACCTCTGAGGCATCCAACAGGCCTGTCGTTCAAGCCTACTTACTGAATGTCACAAAGAGGACTGGATTTTAATTTTCTTGAAATGAGGACAAAGGAAAGCCCAAATGGTTTAGCTTCTACTTCTCTCGACTGACAGAACGTCAGTCTCCAGCCTGCCTGTAGCTCAGAATCCTCCCAACCCCCTGGTGAGTTCATCTATTTCAGTCCAAGGGCTAACAGAAAATAACTTACCTCTAATACTTGATCCTTAAGCATTGTGTGTATGTGTGTGTGTGCGTGTGTGTTTTTTAAAAATGACATGATACTGTCGGTTACCAAACAGTCTTACGCTTTTTGTTCCACTCTAGTGGATGAACTCTTTGTGTAGAAGTCCCACAAATTTAATTTATTTAAATCCTAATTTCCCTCTTTAGGGGAATTATCCTAGAAGTGGTTGACAATCAACTGAAAATACTTTAACCTGTGCTTTTAACTGAATTCACGTAGAAATATTACTAATGCGCCATTATTTTTAAAATGGCCAACACTGTAATATTAGACTCTGCTGTGAGGTGTAAGACGTAACAGCTACCAAATCAGCTTCTCCACCAACAGGCCTACAACCGTTTTTAATACCAAAGAAACTCTGGTCGAAGCAGTTGTGCAAGTCTGTGAATGTTTGTGAACGCTCCTCTCTGCTGCAGGCCTGAATGAACACCAACATGTGCCTTCCTGTCACGTTTGCAACTACGATTCATTTCAGACCAACCACTAAGGGCTGTTTGCAGCTGGCTCTTCCAATATTCTCTCAGCGTATCAACCAGTAGGATAGCCAATACATTCCCTGACACTGAATGTAGTTAAAAGTTCAGGCCGCGTCACGAAGCTTGCGGAGGCCCCGACACTCTTTTTTTTGTTTTGTTGTTGTTCCTGCTCGATAAATAGGTAAAACTCACAAGTCTGTAGTATTTTCTCTGTGTAGATTTCATTTCTTGTTTGTAATGGCTGACTCGCATTCGACAGAGTGGTTAACTGTTTGATAAATGTATGACTGAGAACAGTATTAATCTTCAGTATTATTTATTTGTTCGTTTGCATTGACAACTCAGTGTGAAAGCTTTCTGGGTCCTCCTAATGTGTTGCTATAATAATGTGCTAATGTGTTTGAGCAAACTGTGTGTAAAGGTCCCATGAAGTGGCGTCTAGATTGTAATCTTCGTCTGTGGTTTGATGTGTTTGATATGAGGCTGGATGTCTGGGAAGAGCTGACTTTCTTCAGGTGTTTTAATCCCACAGTAGTGACGATGATGATCGGAGGGGCTGGCTGGATCACCCCCAAATCACACGTCACTTTGTACTAGATGGAATTTTATATTTGCAGGATAAGCCATTAAAAAAGAAAAAAAAAAGAACTTGACACTTTACTGGACGAGAAAGGGATTCTAACATAAAAAATATGCAACAACACACCCAGGGACACACAAGCCATTTCTCATTTCATGGGACCTTTAAACTGAAGTAGCACAAGATTTATCTTTGAAAAGTCAGGCTCTGCATGCCTTAACATCTCAAATGTTTTGCAAAAGGGAAAAAAAGACGTTTATATTTTCATACTTTTGTCTTTGTTTGTATTTGCATATTTTAGAAATAAAGATTTCCAACATTTGGTTTTGTTTTAATTTGTTTCAAGCTTTATTTTTTTTTCCATTTTGATCGATTTTATCTGCAGTATTTTCATTGGATCAAGTACCAATTTTATGTAGTTAAAGCAGGATTCTTCATGTATAACAAACATTTTTATTCATCAAATAGTCAGAGATTACTGGAGAATGCATAGATTTCTGTCGAATAAGGTGACACAGACTCATTATGCCTAATGTCATTCTTAGTCACTCCCCAAAGGCCCGTTCTGAGACGTGACATACCCTTTAGGGATGCACCAGTTTCATTAGATTGGTATCGACTGTGATGTTATTAATTGGATTGGGAGTCAGGCGTGACATGACAGATCCACATAGCATACTGCTAGTTTTGTCAGTGTCATTATATGTGTTTTTTTTTTCTCTACCATCAGTTTAATTTATTCATGTTTTTGAGGCCACAGCAGTCTGTTATATAAAAATGTTCCTGAAGGAGTTCCTCGTGGTGACACGGGGAAAAGCAGCGCTTGTATTGGATCTGTATTCTGTATCAGAAAAGCCTTGAGGCATCAAACGGCCTTTAAAAAAAAAAAAAAAGTATTTTTCCTCTTTTTACCAAGATATCTTTTTGTGTCCCAGCTGGAAAAGCACAGTAAAAGAATGAATATAAGCTTTTCCTCACTGCAGAGCCATCTTCAGTGGTTTTGGTAACACCTATGTATATTTCTGATTGCCTGTATCATTACAAAGGCCTGATAAAATACTTTAATCTTACAAAGCACTTATCTGACTGTGATGCAGCTGCTTCTGTCTACAGTCACCACTCTGGTTTGAAGTAACGTCCTACCCACAGAACTATGTTATTGGTCACAGGTCAAGACTTGTATCCAATCAAGGATAGATGGATAAGAAGGCTGTTTTCCACTGAAGGATCTTGCGGTCTGTTTTAGGGTAGCTGAACCTTTGTTCTGACTGCAGGAACCTCCCACAGAGAACCACTTGTAGGGTTATTTATCGGCGAGAAACAGTTAAAATCAGTTGACACTTTTCAGCTCTCTCGATGTCTTCGTTTCTTCTCTTCTGTAACATCACCACAAGCAAATTAAAATTCCCTTTAAAGGCTCGCTAGCTTAACAAACCTCCATCTTCTACTTCCTACCTGCTCATCACACTCAGCTACTATTGGTTGACATCTCTGTAAAATGTGAGATGGTATGATGGAACAGGAGCCTTAAAGGGCCACTTATGGGGTCATTTCCGTAAACATTAGTGCCGCTTTCCTGTTCCTGTGGCAGAAACTGCATAATCTTGGAAAAGAATCTCTTTTTAGTCACACATGTAAAACATCCTAGTAAATAAATAAAGGCCTTTCAATGAAGTTATGTTGGAGTTCAAATTTTTTTACTACAAATGTGCTCCACATATGAGGCTATGAGTCTTGTTGGTGACGAACAATCAGTGTCCACCTGAAGAACAACACACATGAACTGAACCCTGGTGGCTGCTGTAGAGGGCAGCAGGTCAGATTTAACCTTCTACAGCTTTATTGACTTCAATCACTGCACCACTGTGTCGCTTCTTTCGCAGCAGCAGATTTGCGTTTGTCGTGAGGCCACATGATCGGAGCGTCTGGCCGTCATCGTCGTAGCAGCGCTGCGGGTGCACGCTGATGATGTCATATCCGGGCAGACCGGCGCCTCTGTGGTGCAGACGAGCAGCCCGGGTCACATGGTGCAACGACAGAAGACAGTAAACCAGGGGTGTCGAATCCTGGTTCTCGAGGGCCGCAATCCTGCAAGTTTTAGATGTTTCCCTTCTTCCAACACACCTGATTCACATGATCAGGATCATTATCAGGCTTCTGCAGAGCTTGATGATGAGCTGATCATTTGAATCAGGTGTGTTGGAAGAGGGAAACATCTAAAACATGCAGGATTGCGGCCCTCGAGTACCAGAGTTTGACACCCCTGCAGTAAACAGTGCAGGAGGATGAAGCCTCGCCTGTGTTTGTCCAGATACGTCCGCAGCTGACCGACTGTTTCCGACGAGCACATTTTCACTGCGTAGGTGTGATTCCCGTCTTCTGACCTCATCTTGAGCGTGATGACGTCGTGAGCAGACGGCGGCTGGACAGCGTTGAATGTCTGCGTTCTAGTGAAAGAAACAAAAATGTGACTTTGTTTGTAAATGTTTAGGAAAAGTGGAATATTTCTCTCCTGATTCATCAGTAATTACACGTGTTGCAACACACTCATGAGCTCACGCTGCCGGTGGCGGTTTGCTCTATTTTTCAGATTAGTGCATTCAATAATCTCAATATTGATGATCACAAATTAGGATTTAATCAGGCTTTACATCAAGTATTCCTTTAACCCCTTGAATCCCTCCAGACATATTTTGTATGTCTAGGAACTTTGGAACAACTTCTGAAGCACAGTTCAGTGGATCAGGATGAGCTTGTTATGACTGACCCCCTCTGGTAAGTCAGATAATTGTCAGTTTACCACATGAATTATTTATTTAAACAAAACTGAGAATGAAAACTGCTGAATATGATTTTTTGCAAATAAGTATTATTCAGAGTAAGTAAAATATCTGTTTACTGCAGCAGATGTCGAGTCTTAACTGTTTAAAATACACTTCAAGGCAAAGTCCTACAGGTGAATAAAGAAACAAATAATACATATCAACATAAGACTTTCCCCAATTGATTACGTGCATTAAGACAATTTTCTTTTGTATATGTTATGATGTTATGTTTGACAATGCAAATGAGTTATTATCTCATTAACAATATTAAAATCTGCACAAATTTCTGAATAGAAATGTAAAAAATAGATAAAAGTAAGGTTAAAACTTCATTTTATTCATATGTTAAAGTCAAATGTTTTTATTATTAATAGAAGGGGATATGGGTTTCCCTTTTAATCACGCCATAAATCTACAAATACAAAATCAGCCGGGAAAAAAAATAAACAGTTATAACCATGTTTTTAGAAAGAATATTTTTATTTATTTATTTTATTTATTTATTTTTACAGATTTTAGTCAGCATATACTGTTTATTTTTTGGCTATTTTTTTTTAAACGAGACAGAATAAAGTGATTTGGATAAAAATATCACAATTTGAAGCTCAGATTTGGTCAGTTTTCCTCTTGGAGCTGCACGTCACACGTGATTTGTACAAGAATGTTCAAAAAGTGTAAAGTCAGCCGTTTCTTTCTGTTTTTACAGTTTCTGGCTCTGATGAATGATGTCACTTTTTTAAAAGAAAATACACGTTTTCAACCTAGCGGTGGGTTTTGAAGGTTAGATGATTCATAACCATCACAGTATGCTTACATAATGATCATTCTGTTTACCTCTCCGTCATTGCTTGCAGCGCTGGTGTGTCGATGAGGATCAGTGAGCTGCTCTGAGCATCAGGTGATGAACCCTGGTGAAGCAGAAAACGTGCATTTATCACCACCTGTAGAACAGGAGTCTCTGTAAACACAGATGGTTGTTGGTAGGTATCTCTGCTCACCTGCAGAATCGCTCTTAGAGGGTCTCTGATGTCAATCACTCGGCCGGCCTTCACCACCAGCTTTGGCAGCTTGTTCAGGAACTGATCTGTGGTCATCTTCTTACCTGTGGATTAAAGGACAACTGAAAACAATGAGAATAAAAACTGAGGATTTCTGCTGTAACAGAGTGACGTTTGCAAAACAGACCGGGTAACTGAGAGCCGGCTGGTTCCGCTTTCCTCCCACAAACAGCCTGTCCTTCACCAGGAAAGGCCTCCCAGGGGAGTCTGGACACAAACTCCTCATCTCGCCTGTCGTGAACCTGCACAAAGAATTCCTATCAAGACGCACGTTTGCATAGTGTTTGGCTCAAAAAAATTAAACTCACCTCAAACGGGACGCCATCTGGGAATCTTTCTTGAAGCTCTGATGGGAAATAGCCGTCCATCAGATCCTGCATGCACTGCTGCAAGAACAGAAAGAGAGTTTTACCCGAGAAAGGTCAGAAACTGAGTGTGTTTTCTCCAGTTTTAGGAAGCGAACCTGGGTGCTGTACTCCTGATAGGAACGGAAAGGGCCGTCGAACATGACGATGCCGTTGCCGTAGAGCCTCAGCTGAACAGGGTCCTTCTTGGCCAGCTGAGCTCCCGTCGCCGTCGTCTGCACAAAAGACTCTCCTTCCCCTGCGACAATGTTCAGATCCTTGATCCTCTGCAGCACCAGGTCAAAGTTCATGCGGAAGCTGCTGCCGGCGGAGGTGTCTGCAAAGGAGTCAGGTTTGTAAAGAAGCTCAGAGCCTGTAGAGATGAGATGGAGGTCTGTACCTGAACTGTGTGTCCGCTCACCTTCGACTGAATCTGTGGCCTCCTGATCTCCAACCCAGATCAAACCGTAGTCGCTCAGAAAGTTCTGCAACAAAGAGAGTTGCAGTAAACGTCCTCATTAACTCAAACATGATCCTGTTTTATTATCTCATCTTGCCTCCATTTCATCCACTTGATTCTGCAGCTCTCTGCACCTCCTTTCAACGTCCTCTCTACCATGTCCGCCGCCTAAATCCACACACAGACCGAGTCAGAATCACTTCTACCGAGGCCTCAACTGTGATCAAACACGTCGTACCTGATTCTTCCTGAACCCTCAGCATCTCCTCCAAAGCTGAAATCCTTTTATCCTTCAGAGGAAAACACAAAGTGTCAAAGCTGCCGTCTGACACTTTTAATATCCATCCAGAGGAGGAGGATGTGTGTGTTCTCACCTTGTGTTCTATGATCTGCGTTTGACTCGTCACCATTTTCTCCAGCTCGATCACTCGCTGCGCCATCGTTGTCATGAGCTCAAAGTCGCTCGGAGCAGCTGATTTAAAAAACACCCATTCATCCCTCAAAATTATTCTATTTGATGCAGCAAGATGAAACAAAAGCAGACTTCGGTGGGAATAGATTTAGATTGAAGTCAGATTACAGTTGTTATAGCAATAAATAAAAGAAGATGTACTGCACTTGGCATAGGATTAAATTCATGTTGCACCTTTTTTCTTTACGGGAGCTTTGGGCTTTGAAGTGGAGGCATCATTAGTGTGAGATGGAAGCGGAGGGCTGGGATCAGAGGAATCATCAGAAAGTAACGCTGTCCTAAATTCTAGAAATGAAAAATATGTTCAAAGTGGACACAAAAAAAGAGATGTGCTCATGATTTACAAGATACAAGGAAAAAACATTTCATTTTCTTCATTTTTGTGCCACTTTACACCTGACATTTTATTGACTTTTTATTCCACTTTTTAATCGTGACTCTCTAGCAGCACATACAGCTGAATATTAGTTGAATAATCAGTTATTTAATTGACAGAAACTTCACCTAAAAGCTATTTTGAAGATCAGTTCAGGCCTTTTTTTCTGTGTCCAGTTTGTCAAATGTGGGAACTTTCTGTTTTTTCCTTGACATGATTTAAAACAGTTAATTTATTTATAAAAGAAGACGACATAAGCAGCCACATGAAGGTGTCACATTAATGAAAACAGTCATTGGGTGTAACCTATACTTAAACGTGCCTTCGCCTCAATCAGCTTCTACACTCGAAATACTGTTTACACATTAAAACATGAGTAATTTATAATATATTTATTTTGTTTTTTTAATTTATAATATATTTATTTTGTTTTTTATTTGTATTTTTTTTCCCCTGTATTGAATAGTTGTATTCAGGTGCTGTTGCAGGACATTTTCTTTCTTGTGATGGAGTTTATTTGTTTGTTTGTTTGTTTGTTTGTTTGTTTGTTTGTTTGTTTTTACAGAGTGGTGTTTGTACTTTTATTTAACATTTATTTACATGTATTGTGCACTCTCCGGCTTCCTCCCACACAGTCCAAAAACATGTTGAGGTTAATTGGTGATTCTAAATTGTCCGTAGGTGTGAATGTGAGTGTGCTTGGTTGTCTGTCTCTAAGTGTAGCCCTGTGATAGACTGGTTACCTGTCCAGGTGAACCTGCCTTCACCCTGAGTCAGCTGAGATAGACTCCAGCCCCCCACGACCCTAGTGAGGATTAAGCGGTGTATAGATGATGGATGGATGGATGCACACTGCATAAAAGACAAATCTAAGTAATGAACTGGAACTTTTCATAGTGATATCAATTTTTTTTAACATTTAAATAATATTTTTTTTTCAGTAAAATGTAGGGAATTTTATGGTGCGTATCTCAAATTATCTCTGAGGCAAAACTTTTCACTTGAGTGGCTCTTAAACGCACCAAATATTTTACACCACAAGGTTTATTCCATCTGTGTTTTGAAGGTTTTTACTGATTAGTTTATTTGTATATAATTCACAGCCTGATTTATGGAAAGTTTTTTTTTTATTTTCTTTTTTTCTGTGTGTTCATGTTCTGTTTCATGTGATCTGTTACTTTCATAACTACGTTTTTACTGTATGACCTGTAATATTTTGTCTGGAATCAAACTGGACATGCTTTAAGTCTTGTTTAAAAGTTTTTAACAGTGAAATGATGAAGTAAAGGGCGTGTTGATCCGTGTCTGCAGCTTACCTTTGATCACATCCCTCCTGAAAGCCACCTTTTGTTTGCTCCTGCGGGACAAACACAGCTGGATGAAGTGATGCGTTCACGGTCTGTCCACAGTTGCACAATGAAGGAGAGTTAAGTCAGTGACCTACCGCTGCTCATCCAGAGGAACCTGCAAAGGAACCCGCCTGGTTTTCTTCAGCATCGACAGAGGTGAGCTCATGTTTTCCTGCTCAGTCCAACTCCTCAAGCTCCCAGACGTGTTCAGAGGGATTCCCCGTGTGTGTTTTTTTTTCTCCCCAGTTTGTTTGGACTCTGTTGCTATTGGCAACAGTGATCAGCTGATTTAAGTAGAAGCTGAAACTTGCAGGATTCCTGATTCGTCCACAGGAGGTCGCTGTTCTCTCTGCTCCACACTGTACGATATCATGTAAGGACTATATTTAGACCTGACATACATATTTTATGAGACTTTAAAACTACATTCCACTCAGTTTCAAGGAGAAATATTGCACTTTCTTATTCTCTAGATTGATTTGACAGAGATTTTTTTGCATATAAAACATATAAAGTGCTATAAAATATGATGCTTTATCATCCATTTAATTATTCAGCAGTAATTAGAAGCAGCTTGCAGCTATTCTGACTATGGCCTGCATGCAAAATGCCCCAAATGTTAGGATTCTACTTTCTAAGAGAATTTGCTGCATTTCCTTTCAGTTATTGTAGTAAGTGTATTTTTTTAAAATATATTTTTTGCAGCTGATGATGTTGCTTTGAACTATGGGTAACCTCTGTTTTATTCCTAGAATATTCAGCTGATTGACCCTGTTGTGATCATTCACTGCAGTTTTATAAAATAGTTTTTCAGACTTCTACAACAGTAAAATGCTGTTTGCACATTAATACAACATTAATATGTATAATAGTCTCTTTTTGTTGCATCGATCACTTCAGCTACATCACAATTTCTTGATTATAGTCCTACATATTCTTTACTTAACAGTTTCAATGAATGGATTCTATTTTTTAAGATCTAAATACTTCTTTCACCACACGTTTGAATGTGTGCGTAAAACTGCCATTTTAAGCAAGAAGCCATAAAAATGATCTTTTAATCAGGGTTTGCTGTGTTTTTATTGCTTCTGGGAAAAGCTTTTGGTGATTAGAGCCTTTAAATAGCTGTCTCCTCTCTTCTCTGGTTGCTTGCAGTCCATTCAGTCCTGAGCGCGGCCACTAGTCGGCCGGTGCCGCCGGTGTGTCCGGGCAGCGTTGAGCGCGGAGACACACAGAGAGGATGCGGAGGCCTTCCAGCCCCACAGCCGCACATCCACCGTCGTTTCCCCGGGGCGACTAGCCTGGTCCGGGCTATGGCCGCACCTATCGCACATTTCGACGAGGATTGGCCGAACCTGGGTGCAGTGAACATGGTTTCAGAGGACCGGCTGCAGCTGCCGCAGAAAGGCCGCTCCGCCGCCGCCGCCGCCGCCGCGGGGGAAGCTCCGCCGCAGCTCCTCCTGGATGATGATGATCTTCCGGAGCTGCACGACGGCAGCTTCTCCCCGGGGGACAGCGGCGGGTTCAGGTCTATGGAGGACCTGGTGAACGATTTTGACGAGAAGTTGTCCGTGTGCTTCCGAAATTTCGACGCCGAGACGGACAGCATCGCTCCAGTGAGCGCGATCAGCGAGGACGCGCTGCTGGAGAAAGACGAGTGAGTGTTTGTGGCCTGTGGAGCCTCCTGCTGCTGCTCAGCTCCTCTCCTGAAAACCAGATCCTACAAATGCATGTTTTGGGACGTTTGATTCATTTGATGTTTGCAGTGTGTGAGTGATGTGATGAGCTGCAGCGACAGATTCTGTCAAACATCCAACCTCAGGACGTAAATCTGCTTTTACCTGCTCTGACAACAGTCTCTTTAAACTGTTTTCTTTCACAGATGAACCGAACAGGTGCTCTGATATCGGCACAGTATCTGTATCTGTCCTTAAATGGCTTTTACAAACCGATACAGGTCGATATGAGTTCACAGAGCAGCGTTGTTAGTATTTTTATAGCTGATATTTTGTAAAATTGGCACCTTTGTGATGTAAATATAAAATAAAATAAAATCACACAACTCCCGTGCAATGTCACCTAAATGCCAAATGATTCAAGACAGCATCACCTTATAGTCCTTGCATGAAGTTGAACAGGACATTTGCTCTTATGTCAAACTGAAAACTGTTTGAATGTATATACTCAAAACCAGTCACCAAATCATGACTGAGATTCTTTATGTTTGTTAACAGACTCGGTCCTCTTCAACATGGAGGATACCAGCGGTGCACAATTTTCTGAACAGAGGTTCTGTCATTCTTCAAAGGCTATATTTTGCAGCTGCTCTTTGTTGAACGGGTTGTGTTGCTTTATATTTCTTTTTAAAATACCCCAAAGTGTGTTGTTGTCAGGCGACGTACTTCCAGTCCAAGTCATAGTTTTGCTTTTTCTTCTTTAGAATCACTTGTGTTATTTTGGTAGTCATCATGTGGGACTGTTCCTCTTCTGTCAAGCTCCTGTAGACTGGGAGTCCTTTTTTTGGTTTATCCACTGACATTAATATTGTCATCTATAAATGTTATTTCCTCAAAACGTTTTGCATTCCTGCAGCCCCATATCATCACACTCCCACCGCTGGGCTTCACTGGCAGGAAAATGCATTTGCAGTTTTGTTTCAAACAAGTTTTCTTGAATGATGTTTCTGCAGATTGACATGATGTGCTGTCCTTCAGACTGTCTGAACTGTCACTGAAACTCTGTCTCCATTGATAGATAGAGCTGTGCAAGTAGTTCACTGTGCATGGTGTCATTTTAGGAGGATGACTAGTGATGATAATGATCTGATTAGTGGTACTCAGGCTCATTCTATACCTCCTGGTTCCTGTGTTCCATCTGATATTTACTGAGTCACAGATCTTCCTGTATCATTTTCCACCTTTGTAGAGTCTCACAATCAGATTTTCCAGGTCCTCTGGTCGTTCTTTTTCATATGCAGCCATGATGCAGACACAGTTTGAGCCAAAGTGAGGATGTTCTGCTGTTCTTAAGTCATTTTTCTAACAATGTTCATGCAGTTTGGCTGATTGGAAATTACAGATGAGTTCAATTTAGTAACAGTGTCAGCTTTTCTAATTTGTGAGTCAGTGATCACAGATGTTTTGTTGCATTGCATTTGTACTTTAGGGCCTGTTTTCAATGGAGTATTTCTAAAGTATCGGTTGAAAGATAAGTAGTGGGTGCTGGAATCAAAAAAGTCTCTGACTCAGTCAATCATTATGATTGAAAAAAATAAATATTATGACTAGCTTTAAGCGTGACTTCAGGCGGTCAGGACTCATCATGCTGCAGCTTTGGGTTTAAGTGATATTTTCAGACGTCATCATCTGTGGCATTTTCAACTTGATAAGCTGCGTTGGGGATTATACTTTTAACCTTGGCATCACAACTGTTTAAGCTGATTGTTATATTTTTGGATGTGATGTCCAAAAGTACTTTTGTGGCAGTCGCTAGCGGTATCCATACAACTAATATACGTTTGTTTCCAGCAAATCCACTACAATAATGAAATATATGTGTGTTCCAGTGATGATCGTAAGTGCTGCAAAACAGCAGAGTGGGTAGAAAAAATGGACGAGCGTGTCCTATTGGTGAAGAGTTTCTCCAGCATCCCTGGTTGATCCCAGTGACCGACCTTTGTTGTGGGATATCTGAGTTTTTCTCCTTCCTCACCTTTCTTGAAAACTGGAAAATGAAACAAGTATTTTAAAACCTAGTAGGACAAGATGAAGCAGAAGCCACTATGCGCTGATTTTTCTCTTCCTTCCCTTTGTTTTCTGAACCAGTTTTATCCTGTCGAGGGTCATGGGGGGCGGGAGCTCGTCCCAGCTGACAGTCACGACTAATTTAGAATAAAAAAAAAACTGTTAACCTCCCGATCATGTCTTTGTGCTGTCGGAGGAAGCTGGAAAACCCACGCAGGCACAGGAAGAACATGCAAACTCTGCATATAAAGGCCCTGGCAGGTTTGAGCGTAGAACCTCCTTGCCGTGAGGTGACAGTGCAAACCACCATAAACTCTACACTCAGACTTTTTAATGCAGACTTATAGCTCCAAATTTCTGGTTGCTGACTTAAAGTTGAGGCACCATGTTGACATCATCATCAGGACTCCGTTTCAGCTCCACTGTGTTGGATTCAGGGGGGATCTAGTCTAACTCACCGGGTGTAGACTTTAGGTATACGTTTGATTTTTCCATTGCACATTTCAGTTTTCTCCCTGTTTTCTGGACCAACCTACACGCTGAACGTGGCAAGTTTGAACAAAAATTCATTTTGTGCATTAAAGCAGCCCTGCTTAGATTCTTTTTGGCAAATCAGCACGGCAATGTTTCACCAAAACAAGTCCCCTGTTGCTAATTTGGAGGGCACCGTCGCTACATCCTGGGCTTAGCACCGCCATAACCATTACAATTGGTATAAAGAACTACTTGTCATGGTGAAGCAGCCACGACTTGTCCTGTCACAACTCTGGCCTCCCCCCTGTACACTGAACGAATGCCACAGGATCTCTTTGTAGATGAGCTGGTTGATCGTCTGAAGGGGAAAACTGGTAGTTTGTAGTTTGGGTTTGAAGCACATGTTTTGTGACACCAGTCCTGGAACTTTTCTGACACACGTCGTAGTTATGTGAGACTAAGGGGAATCTATTAGCAGAAATGGAAAACAGCAGTCATGCTTGTTGTATCATCACCTGTAACTCAGAATCATCGTGGTTTTGTTTTATATGAGGTCTTCTTCCACTGAAAGAGCCTTTCGTGTTTCTATGTTGTTTGGAAAGAGCGTCCTTTAAATGCTCTCAACTTTGAGTAAACTTTATGTGCAGTCCTTTACACAGATTTTTAATGTTGTCTTCTGTTGTTCTTCCACAGAATCTGGAACGCTTTAACCAGCAACTATGGCCGCGTGATGCCGGTGGACTGGAAACAGTCGCGAACATGCTCCCTCCACCTCCCCAACCTGGAGGAGAAACCCGTGAGTGCTTCCTCCTCACCCTCCCATCTCTGTCCCACTTTCCCTTCATCCCTCCCCCCCCACTCACCAAATCTCCCCTCCGTTCATCTCACAAATCTCAAATATTCATTGTGCCAGGGTTTAGTGCTTTGATTAAATTCCCTCCCCCCCTCTCCTCTTGTTCGGCTACAGAGGAAGGCAGATGTCGCGGCGGAGCAGTCGGACGATGAGGAGCTGAGGGAGCAGCTGGACATGCACTCCATCATCGTCTCCTGCCTCGCCGAGGAGCCTCTGTTCACGGCCGAACAGGTAGAAGCATCGTCGTCTATCAGCTTAGTCGACTCCAGATGCAGTCGCATTGTGTCAAAGCCCTTAAAATGCAGGGCAGCAGCTTAACACAGCTGAAGTCCATCTGTGTTTCCCACGCATATTTAATGGCCCGCTGAGCTATTTTAAGAGCCGCCTCTCTGATGTGCTGATGCTCTGTGCAGGTTATCGAGGAGATCGAGGAAATGATGCAGGACTCTCCAGACATGGAGGCAGCGCACAATCCGTCGCAGTCAGACCTGTCGATGCTCTCTCTGGACGTCCAGCGGTCCAGTGGCAACCCCGACTACGAGGAGAGTGAGTGTCCACAGACCAGGACTCAAAGGGAGAGTCTCCTCCATCAGTAACTTACGTTTTGTGTGTCTCCCTGTGTGTTCTGGTGGTCCAGGGGTGAGGAGCATGAACGTCGCGGAGCTGAACGAGCGTCTGGAGGAGACGGAGGCGAACATCAGGAGGTTTTCGGAGGAGCTGGTGCAGCAGCTGGCACTCAGGGACGAGCTGGACTTTGAGAAAGAGGTGAAGAACAGTTTCATCTCGGCGCTCATCGACGTTCAAAACCGGCAGAAGGAGCACCGGGAGTCGCTGAAGAAGAAGAAGAAGCTGAAAGGTGGAGCCGGGACATCGCAGAGCCTCGCAGAGAAAACACTCGGATCAGTCAGTGCTTTACTACTGAGGACTCACGTCTTTTATCTCCTGTTGATCTCCTGAAATGATAAAAGTCACGTAGGATCTTTTGCACTGTTTGCTGCATCTCTAGCTGCACTTTATGCTTTATTTTCCAACAAGCTGTATTTTCCTTAAATCTTTTGCAGTGTTTGATCTTTTTTTCTGAAGTCTCTTTCCTTTTCTTCCTTCCTCCTCAGCGTTTCAGTGTGGAGGGACTCTCCTCTGTTATTCAAAACAGCTTCCGGCAAACCTTTGGGAGCGGGTGCAGTGAAAGACAGGTCACTTTCCATTTCTTTCTCTCTTACCTGCTTAACTTTTCTGATTCTTGCTGTAGAACTGAAATACGACCTTCAGCACCACAATAGCAGCTTTCTTCATTTCCTCATACTGTCCTTTCAGCCTGAAAGCATTGTTTTCTCCAGCATTCATTGTTTTCATTCCTGTCTTCCTGTCTGTGTCTCTGGGTTACAGTATTTGACCACAGTCATCCCTTATGAGAAAAAGGGACATCCTCCTTCGATTGAAGACCTCCAGATCCTGACCAAAAGTGAGTTTCTTTACCTGCGAATCTGTTGATTTCTTGGGGCTCAATCGCTAACTGATTTATTCCCTTTCCAGTTCTACAAGCGATGAGGGACGACAGCGACAAGGTGCCCAGTCTCTTAACAGACTATATTCTCAAAGGTGAGCGTTCCTGTTTGGTGTTTGTGCTCTAAGTGGAAGTGGGTGACGTGACTGTTGGCAGTGTTTCTCTGCTGTCATCATCGTTTCACAGAAACCAGAGGATCAATAATGTTCAATACTGTGCTGATGACGTTAAGTTAAAGTCACACAACCCTTTTACTGTAAATCATTGATGCTTGATGTTACTTTTGCTCATTTTCATCACATATTTAATGTATTTCCTACATCTCATGCAGCATCGATTCCAGTTTATGACGAAATCCTACAAGTTATCCTGAAAAGTGTTTGGTATCAGTAATGTGGGACTGTGAACATGCCACTGCCTTCATTCTTTTAGTCTCGTTTGCCAAAATTAAGTGATTTTGCTGCTATTGCTTTGTGCTATATTGTATTTGAACGCTGTGCAATCATTTTATGATGCATTCAAGGACACAACAAAATGTTACTCTTGGCTACACATGGGGATGTAATGATGGAGCAGTATTGACAACTTTTAAATTTAATGAATAAAATATTGTTATCATGTACATAATACACATATGACCCAGTAATTATCTGGTTGACCAACATAACGAACAGTTCTGGTTCTAGACTCTCCACGTCTCTACGCTCATATTTTGACTGTTTCATTAAAAAAGGAGTCAAAAAGCAAAACACACAAAGTTAAACGAGCTTGACAAACATGACCAATATTTTTCCATATTTTCTATAGATATTTTAATCATAATGTTGCTGTTAATTCTTTCTGCCATGATAATGGTCTAGTGAAAGTCTAATATGAGGCAGTTTTCTACTCCAGGAACTTGGAGCAGGTGCAGGATGGGGCAGCTTTTACTGGGACGCCCCTGTAGTCAGCCTTTTGGTTTCCATTGCAGTGTAGCATCCAACAACATTGACTCCTCGTGCACCAAAACAACAACAAACAGTCACTCCTAGACGTAACTCCAGTTCTTTGAGCACATAGAGAATGGAACAGTGGAGGTTTGTGATGCTAACCTGTGTGGTGAACTTTAGGCTGAAGTAGGTGATGTTAGAAAAAAGACAAGGATGTTAACAGGGCAGAAAAAAAATGGCACGTTGTCATCTGTAAGTTTAACAAATCAGCTTCAAAACCTGCATGGCAGTTTTTCAGAGCCCCTCAGGAACATATACCTTGGAATAGGTACTTTTTTCTCCCCCAAAAATGGAAACGAGCAGTTCTTGCAGTCAGAACACACACACAAAGGCTTGAGTTGCCCAAAAACAAAGTTCCTGCTTTGGAAATTGACAGAGCGAGCTTCAAACATTCCATTTCTAAGTCAGCTGTGGAGTTCAAACTATAAACAAATTAGGAGGCGATGAAAATCTTAATTTGGTTTCATTCTGTTAATTGTGAAGCAGATCAGGTCTTAAATGTCAATGAACTTTCAGGAAATTTCAATAAACACGTCAACGAGAACAGCTTTCAAAACAGTTTTAGTGCAATCAAGCAAGCCGGTGTATGAATACATCATCTTATTGTACACAGAGGTTCTGCAAAGTGCTCTTCAGGCAAAGATTAGAATGTTTTTTTTTAAAAGCATACATTAATTAAATCAAATTAATAAATAACTGTACTGACCGTTTGGATAAAAGGAACATAGATTTACAAAATAATTAAAAATGAGTAAAACAGTCAAAGAAGGACAAGAAATGGAAAAAATAAAACCACGTAAGAGAAAAGACATTTAGCAAATAAAAATGCAGACAAGTTTAACAACAGTACAGTCAGTCTGTGTGTGACGCTGCAGCAGTAAATGCATCTCGTATAAATCACCTTTTATCTGCAAACTGACTTTCTCACTGTGTTGAAATCAGCTGCTCGATCGTCTTTTCTAGCTCTTGCAGATCTTTTGCGTGTCCTTCCTTTCGCATTTCTGTTTTCATTCCTTTTTTTTTTTTATTGTTTCTTCCTCTGCTCTGCCTAATCTCCCTCTGCCAGCTCTGGTGTGAGCGACGGACCAAGAGGTTTGTGACACATTGTGAAGTGCACTGTTGTGGTGTTGTCACTATGAAGGGAGAGCGCCCCCCCTCTGCCGGTCACGTGTAGTGCAGTCTGACCCTGAGGCTGTCCTCCTCACCTCTCCTCCTCCTTCTTCCTGCACAGCCTATTTGGTGTCTAGACTCCCGACTGCACACATGGAGCTCCGTTTAACGTCTCACACACCTCTCTGTGATTATTAGTTCTGGAGCACTAACTGCACTTTGTCTCACCCAACCTGCATCTGGTTAAATTAGCATTTGTCCTTCAGTTTTCCCTTTTCTTTTATCTCCCCAGTTTTGTATTTTGCATGCATCAGGCTCCATCTTTTATCTGCTAACATTCTTCTCTGCTGTTCTTCCAGTGCTTTGCCCGACGTAGGCCAGAGGGACGGTGCCCGACGGTCTGCAGAACGTTTACCACGGTGACCACATGAGGAGGACTCATTGTATTTTTTCGCAAACACAAAGCACACTTAATTTATTCCTGCATGTTTTTACCTCTGTGTTTTTGTGTGTGTGTGTGTGTTTTCTGATTTCCATTCAGTTGTATTTATTTTGAATTGTGATTTTGCAAACCCTTGTGTAGACGACTCCTGTGAATTTTGACTATTATTTTTGTGCGTTTTTAATTTTGTTACTGTGAAAATGTATTCCAAACCTGAGAAATGATACGAGGCGGTTATAGAGCAGAGCTGAAGAGCTTTGCATTTATCATAAGTGCTCAGCGCAGAATGACAGAAGTTGCAGTATTAGAGGCGACGAATCAAATCCTGTGAACAGAAGAGTACTTTAAGATTTTAAAAGAAGTGTTACAGCAGTTAATTTCAGTAAAAACAAATACATCAGTTAGTTACCTTAAACCAGCGTTCACAAACACGATGCAAAACTTCATCCACAGCTTTCCTTGTAGCTGCAGACACAGTGTACCACCAGCTCTCATCTCAGCGCTACACCCAACACACCATCATTATTATTTAATGGAAGATAACGACTCGACGTCTGAGGTGATGCACTCTGGGCTCGTATGAACTAATTAACTAACTATGCATTTGAATTGCGACCCATGCACTGTCTGTACTTTCTGACTGGAGCTCTGAATCAGAGCCTCGTCGTGCCTACGGGGCAGCGAACACCACGATGGGCATTGTTACTCTCTGTGTGACTTTAACAAGCTGCCTTTGCCTTTGCCTGAACTTTTGTACATTATGAAAGACTTATTTTCAATGAATGTCAAACGACTCGGAGAACATGCTTCACTGTGTATTTATTTTGTAAATATTGTATTTCAAATACATTGATAAAACCTCATCCTCTTGGCCTCCAAGTGTTTTCTTGATTTCACTACAGATGTACAAACTATAATCCCAGAACCACGTTAGACAACTTTAACAGAAATATACTCAGTCAGTGTCTTGTGACAGAAATCTTACTCGCATGCAAGAGGAGACATTACATCATATACAAAATGAGTGAATAAGACAACACCCTCCTCTTCATTGTACCAATAATTCCTAAATTATAACTCCTCCAGACAAGGTGCCTTTGGCCCCAAGATGTGATTTTTAATTTGATTTCACTCCTAAACTCCAAGGAACAACCCAGTCTGATTCGATCTTATTGCCACTGTCTGTGTTTTATTCGTGCCAAAGACACGCGTTTTTGAGGCCCTAAACATACTCGAAAACTCACCAAAATTGCCATG